AGCTTAATGAAATACCTCTATAAGATTCTGCCGAATCAGAATTTCGATTTGCTTTAAGTATGGGAATCACCCGGTACTCTCTCCAACTATCTGGAATATCTTCTGATTGCCATATTTGATTAAAAATTTTTAATAGTGTTTCTTTTCCTTTTTGATGTAAATTTGCCAACATCATATAATGTATATTATCTATTCCCGGAGACGTATTTTTCTTGTTCTTAAGACTTATTTCTAATTCGTATAAACTAAATGGCACTGAAAGTGGATGATTAGAGTTTTTACTTTCCATTACATTAATTTTTGAAAATATATTATCTGGACATAATTTTCTCAAAAACTCCTCAACCCATTCTCCTTCGGTCACTGGATTTATTTGTGGTTTAAAGATGTTTTGTAAACGTTTGACTTGATTCCACATATTTTTTATTGGTGTATTTTTGTTTAAATTTTCACAAAAAATTTTCCATGCATTACGTTTACTTTTTAATATAACTTTTTTCGTTTCCGCTACACACTTATTATAATATATATAATTTTGTATATTGGACTGTAACTTAAACTTGCGTAAAGCAAGTTGTTGTGCTTGAATAACCTTTTTACAATTGTCATTCCACCAAGTTTTCCTAAATCGTGGACTAGTCCCTGTTCTTTTCTCCGGTATGCATATTTTACAATATTCGTTTAATTTATTTAAAAATTGTTGGTAATCTAAATTATTATCACATTCCATGAAATTATCAGTGATAGAAGAGAAAAGAGACCAGTCCGCTTTATTTATATTCCATTGGAATTTTGTGTTTACATATTCCGCTTTATTAACATTAATATTTGACTTTATAACAATAGCAAAATGATTTGATCCTAAAGTATTGTCCACAACATCCCAATCGAAACAATGACTAATATTTGCTGAGCATATTGTAAGGTCTATGGCCGATTTATTAATACTATTAGGTCTACGCATCAAAGTTTCTTTGCCGTTATTTAAAAGTACGAGATTACAGTCCTCAATAGCTTCTAACAGATTTTTTCCTATAGTGTCTACAGTACTACAACCCCAAACATAATTGTGGCTATTAAAATCACCACCAATTATAAAAGGCTTCTCCATACTATTAAAAAACTTTTTCCATTCATTTACCGTAATTTTGAGATTTGGTTTTACATAAATAGAATAAATGTCAATCTTTTTACCGGTTTTAATTTTTATTGATATGCTATTACACATTACGTCATTGATTGGATGAAAAGTAGGAGTATTATCAAAATTAATTTTTTTTTCAATAGTATGGCCACACCACCATATCCATCATCCCTATCATTCCTAAAGATATTATAACCAGTAAAGTTAATAAAGCTACTTTTCTTTAACCATGTTTCTGATATTAGTCCTATATCTATTTTATTGTCATATAAAAATTTTTCTAAATAACCCTTATTTGTTTTAATTGACCTTGCATTCCATTGAAGAAATGATATGCTAGCCATCACGATTTAATAATAATTGTAAAATATTGTTTTTCAGTAATTCTAACGTTTTTTCATCTAAATTGTGATTAATCTGATTTAAAGTTGTTGAAATTAAGTTTACTATAATTTCTCCTATATTACTTTGATTATCGTTTTGTATTTGTGTTTTATTATGATAAATAGGGCTGTTAAAATTATAACAAGGCTGACTTTGTACTTTTGGAGTTTGCAAGATTTTTCTGTGCGCTTCCATTATCTCTCTGTCTACGTTACTAGAATTAATACTATTTGATCGTTTTCGTTTATAGATTGTATATTTATTGGAAGTACTTTCTTGTTCTTTACTTACTGTTGAATAATATTTTCTATATTTATTATTAGCTTCGTAATATGTTATATTTTCAGTATTCATAATCTTTTTAATATACTCCTGTTTTTCCCTTTCCGTACAATTTGCTCCCTTGTCAGTAGGGCTATGTTTTCCTTTGCACAATACACAAAATAGATTGTTAGGATTGGAACAATTTGATTTATTATGTTCTTCACCGCATCTTTCACACCTATCTTTTCCCCTACATTGAACACGTATATGCCCAAATCTCAAGCACTTTAAACATTGTAGCATTCTGGGTGTGTAATTTTCAACCTCGTATATCATTTTTTCTATTACTACGTTGGTAGGTATAGACTGACCTTTAAACGTTACTATTACAGTTCCAGTTTTTACATAGATAGTTGATCCATTTTCTTGTACCACTTTCCGCATTATTCTTTTTACATGTAAGACTTCAAATCTCATTCCAAACCTAGGTTGAATTAATGATAACAAATCATCCTCTTCTATCTCTTTATCTACAGATTTTATAACACCTTTTCTTTGGGTAAAAAACGTCGGAATATATGCCTCGTACTGTTTGCTTTTTAAATTATCAGATTCAATTAATTTATTAGCACTAGTAAAATTATTAAGTTCTACCTTAATTTTATTCCTACCAACTACCGTGATTTGTGTGATATTATTTTCAATTTCAGGTACTGAACGTAAAATTAATCGGGCCGTGCCTATCCTGTGTAATTTGCCGATATTACCGTTTTTATTTTCTATATGTACTATGTATGGTGCACTATCTCCTAATTTATATCTATTATTTAATCTTAAATTTATAACTTTATTGGAATTTGGATTACCTGATCTATCTATTTTATTAAATTGTGTCAAAGCATCGTTATTGAAATCAAATTGGTTACTTACCTCGTTAGTGCTAATTGTTTGGTTTTTTTCGTTTGTTACCTTATTTATTGTTATGTTGCTATTTTTTTTTAATTCTTCAAATTCCATCGTCCTATCTTCTCCAAATTCTACATAAAATTTCCCTCTATCTGGAGGCTTCGGTGGAATTTCTTCCATGTCGTTTTTTTTTTTTTATTAAACTACCTATACACGAAATATACACTTTCTTCCAGACCACTAGTTTAATGTGTCTTTATCACTGCAAGTGATACTGTGAAAGTGAAGAAAAAACCTCTAAAATTGATATTTTTTGTAAGAGCTTCAAAATAATGCGCCTTTCGATTTTATTTATATCATTAGAACCGTAATTGAAAATCCCATAAAATGGTAAAATGATATATACAAAGAGTATAATAATACAGATTTCTCTAGAAGTGACAAATTAATATTTAGACAGTTGTATTACTTATTGGCTATTATGCCTATATTATTTCTTGCTAAAGTTGAAGAAAATTAAAAGAAGATAAACTTTCAGAATCTTAGCAAGTGAGGATCACTTTTTAAATTTTATTAGTTCTAGTTAACCGTTATAACAATTAAGTACTAGGACATTCAACAGGGCAGTCCAAAAAAAAGTTATCTTTTAGTAAGAATAACATTGTAACAGTAGTTATCTACCAGAAACTGAAACACTAAAACTAACGCTAATACTAATATAAAATTTACCACTAATACGTTATGCAAGGAACACTATTGTTTATAAATACTAAAATAATTTACTAAAAACCCCTAAATAGGTTTTTAAAACTAAATAAGTTTTTTATAGATATATTACTTATAGAGTGTAAATTTCCTACTTTCAAAATAAAAGTTTCAGTATCTACTATTCTGTAACTCTGTAAGTTTTAGAATGACCAGTTCAAAATTCAAACCGATAACATTCCTACTAAGTTTTGTTATAATCTGCCAAATTGTTGTACAAAGTAAATGATACGGCAACCCTGTTACTATGTCGTTTCGTTTGAAGCGTTTCGCAGCCGAACGTAATGCTATCTATCGATGATAAATACTACCACTGTTTCAGATGGAGCCATCTCCCTACATTACACATTTGAAGGCGGCGATTCAAGACATAATTCTTGTTTAACGAGATTTTTCATATGTTTAGGAAAAAATATTTAAAGTTTTATTGCAAATATTTTCCACTTTTACAGTTTTATATATGTTGTTATTAAAAAAATTTTTGGTTTCTTACCGGAAGCTTTATTATAAGCAGAAACATATTATTTTTTCCTATTGGGACAAAACTGTAAATTCAAAAATTTTCAAAAAATTCCTAAGTATTTCTTATAATTATATCTTGATGCTGTAAAAAAATTAACAAAATTATATGTCCGGTTTTCCCGCTTTATACTTGGAAAAAAGTAGTTTTTTTGAGTTTTTTTTTAAACGAAAACATGAAGTTTGCTTAAAAGTTGTCAAAATACTTCTAGTCATCTCATACACCTTCTCAAATTTTTTCAAATTTTTTGAATTTGGAATTTATCTTTTGGGGGGTGCAGATCAACCTTAAGTTGGTTCCTTAGTTTTTTAAGTTCGGTTAGTTGATTCTTTAGTTTTTTCAGTTTAGTTTTATTTGATTCCTTAGTTTTTAAAGTTTAGTTATAGTTCCTATAAATAAAGATTTTCGTCTCCCTACAAAACTTGTGAAAAAGCAGATAGGTATTGTCACATCACTTACAATATGTGAGATTATTCCATTGGAAAATAATAAAATATTTTGAATTTCCCACTAAATTTTAATTAGTACAGAAATGACCCACCAGAGGCGCTAAAGGGATAAAATTAATACTTAACCATTTGAATTTCCCGCCAAATGGTGATTAGTATTGACTCCACTCACCAGTGGTGCTAATAAACCAAATTTATATATAGAGTTGCCTATCTATCTGTATATACTATATTATTTATCTATGGTACCTATTTTGTGGTAATAAACATTTACTTTTCATAAAAAATTGGAATGTATCTAATTATTGAAATTTAATTATTTTAATAATTGAAATTCTTGTAAATAATAAAATACACATATGTATCAAAATAAACTTTGCAATTCATTTTTATCTTATCCCTAATTTAGATGTCATAGTAACAACTTTTTATTTTGCCAACCAACCTCGGACTTTGATCACGAGATTAAATTAAAAAACAACCGTAAATACATTTTATTAAAAATGCAATATTTCATTTGGAGAACCTGCAAACTATCTTATTCTTCCCTGAAAAATAAAATCCAGAATAACTACAACAAAATTTTATTTTTTTTTTAATAAAAAGTTTAATATAATTTAATAGAGTAAAAATTTTATTTGGTGCGGTAAAACAATATTATTAGAAAAATATTAACTTCACGAAATCTTAATAAGACATTTACCAATATTTTTCTAAAAACTTAACCAAATCTTTGGGATTTGTATTAGGTCCATGTCTTTCAACTGGTTGTCCGTTTTTATCGATGATAAATTTAGTAAAATTCCATTTAATAAAATCACCAAGAGTACCACCTTGCTTGTGCTTCAAATATTTCCATAATGGATGAGCATCATTACCATTCACATTAACTTTTTCAAACATATCAAATTTGACGTTCTTGCTCTGCATGAATTGGCAAATTTCTGCATTACTTCCCGGTTCTTGGGCTGCAAATTGATTACACGGGAAAGCAAGAATTCTGAGGCCTTTCGATTCTGCATACTCATCGTACAATTCGACCAATTCTGCATAATTATTTTTTGTATATCCACACTGGGACGCTACGTTGACTATGATACATACATGACCCCGGTATTTCTCCAAAGATACTGGCTCTCCTTTGATATCGTTTGCCGTGAATTCGTAAATAGAATTAGCACTTTTATAACTGTCAGGACTCGACATGGTATTTATTGAATGCGAACACGACGATTCGACACTGTCAAGATTGTCACTGGAACAAAACTGTTCTTCTAGTTCATCACCTACTACTGCAACTGCAACTAATACTAATAATAAGTTTACAGTGGTTACACCTATGCCGGTGCTACAAGTAAACATGACTTTCACTAAAACTGTCAGGTCAGGTGTCAGACAGAATAAATCTGCGCATGAATCGATTCGAATTTACGTGTTGAATTTATGAACGTTCTCGATTGTAATTAATCGGAACACGTCAGACCAGTCAGACCACCCACTTATAAATGATTAAAAGTTTCCCATACCGGGTGGCTTAAAAAAGTTAAATTTATAGTGTTTATATGAAGAAGAAACGTATTTTCATATTTTATAATATTCACATACAGGTCATAATAAAACTTTTTGTGTCTCCATAATTAAAAAATATTAATTTGTATCTAACAATTTTAAAGCGCTATTATAATTTGTGTATTTATAATGAAGTATATATTATAATAGAAACATTATAATTTGCAAAACATTGTTGTATTTGGACTGATTCATATATATTTCACAAGAGTTTTATTCTAAAATTGAATATAGTCACAGAATAAATAACAATCAGAATGCCCACTCTCAGATGCCGTCTTTGATGTTTGTCAACACACGAGCGCCATGTTTTAAACGGAAACAGACCTGGACTGAAAAATTTGTGACAAGCTACGACAGAACTGTAATTTAAATGTTTAAAGATTAATAATTTAGTAATGTGAAATAATTTATTCGAATTTTCAACTAAAAGTACGAATAAAGTAGTGCATATTATGCCTATGGTTGCCGTAAATAAATTAAACCGGGTTAATTTTTCTATGCACATCAGATAAAATTTTACTGACCAGCACTGGTTCCGTTTAAAACATGGCTGATTGCGTCTGCGCAAAACAGATGCGCGTACTTACCTTGACAAGCAGAGTTGGTATTCTGATTGTTTATTATTCTGTGATATGGTCATCTTCGAAGCGTTTTCAAAGTTCAACGTTAATTTGATCGAGTGATGGGATTTTCTTAATTTTGAATTGTTTACGTGCTATTTCAATTTTACGTGATTAATTTGATTACATGATGAATTTTGAAATCTAACGAGACGATTCAAGATACCAGCTAATTATTTTTTTTTTATAAAAATATAAGTTTAATATCAAGTAACTATGACATTGTAATAAGTTACATTTAATAAATAATAAAATTATAACAAGTCGTTTCTATTTAACTTAAGATTGCGTAATTTTAGATCAGGTACTTATAAAACTATACGTATAGCATTTTTCATATAAAAAAGCTTGCACGTCATTCGAGATTTACGTCGTCAGAGCCCCACAGCGTTGTCAAAACATCAGAATAGTTAGTAAATTGTCCAATATAATTTATTAGAAAACCGACAACTGTTTTCTAAAGTAAAAGACAATACACCAACTGTAAATAAAACTAAAATGTTATCTACAAACTGCCTTTTTTGGATTGCCAGAGCTGTTATGTTGGCCAAACTTCTCAATGGCTAAAACAAAGGGTCACACAACACAAAAGTGACTGCACAAAACAGAAGAACACATGTGCGGCAGTTAACCATCACTTAAAAACTGACCATCAATTTGACTATTCAAATGTCAGGGTTCTACAGCAAGAAAATAATTACAAAAAAGATTGTTTTTGGAAATGTGTCATATAAATAGAGAAAACTATGCAGTAAATTACAAGGCAGACACTGGACAGTTGAGCAATATCTACTGTAATATTCTTAGTATGTCCAAATAATTTTTCTGTTTACGATTATATTTTAAATCACCCTGTATATTTTAATGTGTAATTTTATTGTTTCTTGGTTGTTTTTGTTTGCTCTGTTTTTATATTTAATTACTAGTGACCTAGGTGCTATTAACCAATACTGTCAGTACTGTTTTGAACATACTATGTACAAAAACTTTTTTAAATATTTTTAACTCTTAATCTGTAAGTGATTCATTTTTTATTCTCACCTGATTTTTATTTAACTTTTAACCATATTTTAGTTGTCTCCTGATGAAGCTGACAAAAAAATCAGTGAAATATGAGTATTAAAAGATTAAAAGAAAAAAAGAGGTTTTTTTTTAAATAACAGACCGCATACCTGATACTCCAACACAATAAATTGTTGTATATATATATATATATATATATATATATATATATATATATATTTATATATATATATATATATATATATAAAATATATATATAATATATATATATATATAATATATATATATATAATATATAATATATATGATAAAATTAATTATAAAAAAAATAAAATGAGTGTCGTGTAGTTCTTATAGGTATTGAAATGAAATATAATAATGACAAAAACATACCTTTATTGGTGCAAAATATAAGAAATAAAAAATACCACAAAGCAAATACTGTTAAATCTAAAGCTAGATCTACAGAATTTTAAAAACCTATCAAGCATACAAAATGTATTGAAACAAATAAAAAAAGAATTATATATAGATACAGTATATATTGTATAGTGCGTCTATGTAATTTGGACCCATATGGGGAACTTTTTTAGTAATTTTAAGAAAAAAAGTTCTTCATGGCCGAAAACCTAAGATACAATCATCAGATATCAAATGTTATCAATACTATAAAAATATATCAGTACATAAAAAAATATGAATTTTAGGAGTAAAGTACCTTTATCGAAAGTACCTTTTCACAATATCGAATATTATTATTATGAAAAGTTGTTTGGAATTAAAAACTGTTTTAATATGAAATTACATCCTTATTAAAAAAGAAGTTTTGGAAAATTTTTCTTAAATTACTAATACCATACATAACATAATTTTTTTTATTACAAATATAATAATTCTTCTGTTTCAATGGAAAAAAGATTATTACCTTTTCAATGATTCTAATATTTTTGATGTATTTTTGCTAGTGAAAATTTGCTTACCATTTTTATCAAAATCAGTTAGAAGGATGCAGATTATTAGCATAGCCTATTAAAACATAGTTTTTAATTTCAAACAACTTTTCACAATAAAAATTTTTGATATTGTGAAATATAAAGGTACTTACTTCTCTTAAATGAATTCATATTTTTTGAGACACCTAGTATATTATTGATAAAAGATATCTCCTGGTTCATCTAAGGCTTTAGAACATGCAGAGCTTTTTATGAAGAATAACACTTTTTCGCAAAAAATAATAAAAAAAATTTCTCATATGGTTGTAAGTTACGTAGACACACTCTGCATACATGCATATATATATATATATATATATATATATATATATATATATATATATATATATATATTGGATTTTTTGCAATTTTTTGGAACAGTTGTTAGTATAAATAAAATTATTAAAAGAAATAAAACAGTAGGTATCACCTTGTAAACATTTTTAACCTTACATGATGTGATACAAATACACTATACAAATACATTATTTACCAATATTTTTCAAGTGACTTCACTAAATCTTTAGGATTTGTACTTGGTCCATGTCTCTCAACTGGTTGCCCATTTTTGTCAATAATGAACTTGGTAAAATTCCACTTAATAAAGTCTCCAAGGGTACCTCCTTGTTTGTATTTCAGATAATTCCATAGAGGATGAGCTTCAGCTCCATTTACATTGATTTTTTGAAAGACATCAAATTTTACATTTTTGCTTTGCACAAACTGGCAGATTGTGGCATTATCTCCTGGTTCTTCATTTGCAAATTGATTACACGGAAATGCAAGGATCTTCAGTCCTTTGGATTCACCATATTCATCAAACAAATCATTTAATTCTGCATAATTGTTTTTTGTGTATCCACATTGTGAAGCCACATTCACTATTATGCAGACATGACCTTTGTACTTTTCTAAAGAAACAATTTCACCTTTGACATCTTTTGCACTGAATTCATAAATGGAGGATGCTTCTTTGTAATTCTCGGGATTCGACATCTTTGAATTGTTTGATACAATAGCCAAAGTACGACAAGCTACAGCTGCTTTGCAGAGGGTTCTATAACTGAGAAGTAACATTTGTATTTCTTATTAAATATTGATGTAATGATTATGATTCCCGAGAGTAATTTGTAATGAAATTATAGGTTATGCCCTAAATAGGGGTTGTACGGAATAATTTATGTATTTATCTTTCTTTGTTCAACATTTTTATTTTTATACCATTAATCAGCTGACCTATACTGCTGTGTTGCCACTGCTAAGGCTCACTGGGTGGATTTCTTATTTTAAAGATAAAGAGTAAAATATATCTAATTATTTTTTAAAAGTTGTTTATAAGTAAGTAATTGATAACATATATAAATATCGTGAAAGTATTTTATTATCGTACTTAATGTTTATCTTAATAAACATTAAAAAATGTAAAAAATACGATATCAGTTTTATTTACATAAAATTCCAGTTTTAACTTACATTTTTTTGATAGTTTATTCCTTTTTGAATGCAATACCTACAATTTGACTATTTAAACTTAAAATTAAAAAAATATTATTCCATCATATCATTGATATCGCTTATTGTTAATATCATCGCACTGATATCGCTTTCAAATGTAATGCAGTTAGTTGATGGGACATAACACATGTCACATGTGACATACTGACATGACATACATAATGGACCACAGGAGTGATGACGTATATTTTATTGACATACGTCAGTTTCACTTTACAAACAAATCTGGTTTAAGGTCGATTCAGACACATCAGTCACGTCTCGTCACAGTGATGGCACCGAACCGAACAATCCGTTATACAAAATATTCTTTAATACAAATATGGCGCCGGCATCCACACTCATCAGTTGACAAACAGTTTGCCAGCTGTCAGATAGTTGATAGTTCTGTGACCAAACAGGACCGGTTCGGTGCCGTGACGATGACGTGACTGATGTGTCTGAATCGACCTTTAGTGTGGATAATTTGTATTTTTCGTTTTTTCATTTATTTTATAGAATCTTTCCGCTTATTGCAATATTTAAGTATTCTAATAGTTACTACAACAATTTTACAAGGTTGTGTAAATAATAAAGCACATTGTTTCATGCTAATAGCAATAAAATGCATCTATCAATAAAGTAAGGTTACAATTTCTTTATTCAAACTTTTAAACTATATTTCATAGAAATAGAACTCTGAATTATGATGGTATTATCGTAAAAACACTATGCTTACAAGAAAAAACAGCAGAGGAAGCAAAATGTTAGCTTTA